GAAAAGCTACTACCAACTGCTATATGGAATGTGTGCCATACACATGTTCCAGAACTATCATACAGTGAATGGTGCACCCTAATAGTCCTAGTCCCAAAGCTAAATAGTGAGTTTAGACAAATCAGTGATCAGTGCAAATAAACTGAGGTTTTGTACTGATATGCAAGGAGTGAACACATTAGCCACATCTGAAAGCCATACCATACTAGGAAAAGACTATTTCCTAGACAAATTAGGGTTAGATATGTATGTATACTTGATATAACCAAGGGTTACTAATAGTTCCTACTGGAAGCTGAATCCAAAGGGAGAGACTTTTGCCACCCCTTAAGGACTGTTACAGTTTCAAAAATACCACTTGGTCTCGTAGGGTCCTTCCACCTTCCAACATCTGATGGATAGGGCATTGTCAGGCCAAGGAAAGTGGTGTGAATCTATCTAGATGATATAGTAATTTATTCCACTATTTCAAGATAAATAAGGTTCTTCCTTCTTAAATTATTGTGTTCTTAATTCTGTGCTTTTTTCATTCTGCAGCTTAGCTTTTAATATGCACTGCAATGTGGTTTATTGGATTATTTGATCAGTGTCACCTTATGAAGGATTTGGATAGAAAGGCAGCAAATACATCTTTTAAACAAATAAAATAATCTGGAATCCACTTGCAACTCCATCTGGCTTTAATGTTATTGAATTTTTAAGTAACTATGTATCATAGTCTCTGATGCTATTGGACTGAAAGTAAAGCAGTGACAAACATGAGTAAACAAACTCTTGTCTCCAAAGGCAGATCATGAGTTAACAGAGATACAGCAGAGGTGTTGGAAATTCAGACAGTGATTAGGTAAAGTTCTGGCATATTCATTAAAGCAGCAAAAGCTCAGAGTTTTATTCCAGTAGTTAGGGCAAATACTTCAAAATGCATGAAGACGCAAATTTAAGATTTCAGGATTTTTATTTACAAAAAAAAGCCATAAGGATTGGTGGAAGATGAATATGTTTCTTTCAGCTCAGTTTTCTCTGGATAGGTAGCCAACAAGCAGAGCCTACAGTAGGTAGCAGCATTTAGCTCACTTTGGCAATTTTTAAAAGCTAAGCAACCTGGCCTGGTTAAAATTTGGATGGGAAATCATTTGGAATTCCATGGCTGTTCACTAGACTGGAAAATTGAAAAAAAGCATCATGGAATAAGGCAATGGCAAATATTTCTATAATGTTGGCAAGAAAACCAAAGGGATGCAGTCACAGAGAATCAAGGTCATCTTGAAGGCATCACCACCTTTTTATTCAGGCAGAAGAAATTAAGCATAGTATGAAGAATAGTAACCTGCCAAAACCAGTTGGTTTACATAAATAATAGTATAAATTATATACAAATATTTCAGCTTCTAAACTATTCAATATTTATCAGAATGTTTGTCTCTGGTACTCTACCAGCTTACAGGACTGTTATTCCTAAACCAAATCAAGTTGATATATGTTGTGCTAATAATAGACCTATTTCATTAATGAATAAAAATAGGGAAGTGCTATTTATTTAGAAGATTTATTATCCTGCCAACCGACCCAAGAAGACAGGGTACTAGCACACCTCACACATCCTGATCAAGCAGGGTTTATTTATTGTAGACAAGAGGATGACACATCAGTAAATCTTATAGCTTTAAATAATGCTAGGGTGGATCCAGCTGTCAACATTTCATTGGATGTTGAGAAGGCCTTTGATAAAATATACTGGCAATGCCTATTTTTAATTTTTTTTCCAAAGTTTTATTTTCCTTCAGGACTCTCTTCTCTCTCTTTTACTGTTTGGTTTTGTTTGGAACCATTAGCAGATGTGATTAGATCAAGGGCTACATTGAAATTCATGCTCTGATTCATGCAGGTACATAATGCGAAGTAACCCCACTTTTAGATATGTTAGTATTTATTGATAAACCTGAGGCTTCCAAACCAAAAGCAACAAAGCTAATTGATGATCTGGGAATCCTTTCTGAGTATAATATTAATTGGTTTAATCTGAAATAATGCCTTGGGGAGCTATTAAGCTATTAAAATCAGCTATCTCTGGACAGTATTGATGGTGCCTAGAGGCAATAACTTATCTTGGATTGAGAATACCTCAAGATATAACTCAGATGGTTAAATTGAATATAAATAAATTGTGATTAAAAACAGCAACAGATTTAGACAGCTGAGCCTCATTTAAATTGAGTATGTGGGGAAAACTAATACTTTAAAAATGAATGTTTCACCATGGTAATGTATACCATACTCGCCTGATATACCCCCATATGTTCCTAAGATATATGCAGAAGTTTCATGTGCTATTTCAAAGTTTGCCTGGGGAAACCATCCCCAGTTTTCATTCAAAAAACTTCTACTGTCAGTTACACATTTTCTTTTTCAGGTTATTGAATGGGAAGTACTGTGTATACTCTTCATGATATCTAACTTCTCCAGCAAAAGGATGGCCTTGCTATTCTCCAATTTGGTTTTCCCCATAGTGTTAATTAAACATGATTGTGAGAATTAAAGCAGAGCCTGGGTAACAAAAATAGAAGAAAGTGGAATTCTGCAGTTTCCAATGAAATAATTTTTTTATCCAAGGAGTATACACACCTGATCAACAGAATCAGATGACAATATTTATTTCTTGCCATAGAACACAAGTGCCATTTGCTGTAAACCATAGAGAAGCAATATTAAGCACCCCCAGAATTCCCTCTGGTGTTACAGGACTTCATTATAAATTAATAAGCCAATAATAACTATTTATAAACAGTTGTTAGAAATATTAATTTGATATTTGAGGGTACAGGGAGGTATGGTGTGAGGAACTGAATTGTCTGCTATGTGAACATTAATGGTCATAATTTTATAGATCTAAACTTAAGATTATTTCAACAGAAATATTTATTTCATGTCCATTGGAAGAAATTGATAGGTGCAGGTAACTGTTTGGCATGTGGTGTTGGTTGCTATGACATGGTCTTGTGTTATAGTGGCTCCCTTTTGAAGGGAAGTTATTTTACATACAATAAACCCTCGGTTCACTAGACTAATACAGGAAAGAAATGTTTGTTAAACAGCAGATGAGATTTTTGCATGCATAATCCCATTTGTAAATGGCAAATAGGGTTTTAGATACGCATAAAATGGCACTATTCACGAGTAAAATGGTGGATAGATTTTGTCCATTGCATCTGAAGTGGACTAAACTGAACTCCAATCAGCTGAGGGTGTACTGTATATTTTGGTTCTGAAAGATTCTTGTAGAAACCCATTTTCTTTAACATAACGTAGCAATGCCTTGAAGATTAATAGGAGAGCAACAGAATAGGATACTGTGGGCTTCTATAATTGCAAACAATAATGCTGCGAGGTTGGAAGGAGACCTATCAGTTACACAATGGTCTGAAGAATATCTTTCTCTTTTGATATTTAAAGTATTTATTGCTGGGAATCTCAACTCGCGACATCGAAGAACAATATAAATGGACTTGAATATTAATTTAACTTTACAGTACAATATGAAAGGTTTGTGCATGTTGATATTTGGGGGGAGAGGCTTCTGTCTTATTTTTTTTGCTTCCTGCATGATACAAAATATTAAAAAAACACAGAAGGAGAGTATCTTGGCTTTTTGTTTTCTTAGTTTGCAACTCTATCCACTTTTGCCTTGGCTAATCTCCCAAAACAAGGCAGAGTTGGACCTAGTTAGTACTTGGATGAACAACCACCAGGAACTCCCACAACTGGAAAGTTGAAAAAGCATCCTGAAAAAATAATAGCAAGCCATTTCTGTATGTTAACTACACAGATGTGTCCCCAAAGTCATCAGGAGGCAAGCTCAATCCAGAGGAAACTTTTCTTTTAAGACCCACTAAATTCAGGTTTGGAGAGCCAGTTTGGTGTAGTGGTTAAGGGATCAGGCTAGAAACCTGGAGACTCTGAGTTCTAGTCCCATCTTAAGCACAAAGCCAGCTGGGTGACCCTGAGCCAGTCACTCTCTCTCAGCCCTAGGCAGAAGACAAGGGCAAGCCACTTCTGAAAAACCTTGCCAAGAAAACTGCAGGGACTAGTCCAGGCAGTCTCCGAGAATCAGATACAATTGAATGGATTTTTTTTTTAAAAAAACCAGGTTTATGTACATCCTAGTAAACACACATAGGACTGCACTACAAGGCTGTTCTTTTGCTAAAGGAGCATAGTATTTACTAAAGCCAAATCAGAAACTGCTTTTATGTGCTGTAGGTGAGCTTTAAAAGGAATTTAGCCAGCCAATGTCCTCCAGCAGAAGGCTCATCTCAAGCGCCCCCTGCCGACAAGGGCACAAATTCCCAGCAGGATGCTGGAAGCAAAGCTTCTAAAGCAGACGCGATACGAAGTTGAGATACAATACGGAACGGACAAGCGACCTCTTACGCCGCAGCAGGTGTTTGGGAAATCGTGTGAAGTCCCATTTCGGTCCTTTTCTTATCCAAATCCAAAGTTTCTCTGCCCACAGGCTAGAAGACCTATGGTGTCCTTCCTTTCTAACCCCCCCCCCTCGCGTCTCTGAGCAGCCTATCACACAGCCTCCTATTTTCAGTATACCCTCGAATTCTTCAGACTGACACATAAAACAGCCCCCAGACGCCTCTTCTTAACGCACCGCATTTTTTAGTTTCTGAAGGCAGCGCACACGTAGTGACCCCTCACGCGCGGATTTTATTCTGGTGAAACCGCGAGGAAGCCTAGCAAGGAAATGCCACGCGGAGTCTCAGGAGCAAACCTCCCCGAACTCAGCGACGTGCCCTCCTGATCCTGTCCGCTGCGCAACCTTCCTACTTTCAGCAAGTAAAATCCCGCTGAAACAACCGAGCTTCCTCTCCGATAAACAGGGAGAGGGCGAGGCTGCACGGCGCAACCGACGCTCACCTTTGTAGGGAGGTCTGCGCCTTTTGCTTTTACACACCTCCGTTTCAAGGAAGGGGCAGAAGTGCGAGGCTACTCACCGCAGCAGAACTATCCTCCGAAGGGGGCTCGCGTCGCTTCCTACTTGCCCAGCCGCTCCAGCCCCAGGAGGCAACCCGGAGCACTTGTGCAGCTTCCGGCGAGGTGGGGAGTAGG